TGGGAGCAAATTACTATGGATTTCGTTGTTGCGCTTCCACGGCTCAGCAGGAGTTTGATGCAGTTTGGGTGATTATGGAGAGGCTGACCAAGTCAGCTCATTTCATTCTTGTGATGACTACTTATTCTTCCGAGAAGCTGGCTCGATATATATCTAAGAGATTGTCAGACTTCATGGCGTGCCGGTATCTATCATCTCTGACCGGGGTACGCAGTTTACATCACGGTTCTGGAGGGCCGTAAAGCATGAGTTGGGTACTCGGGTGGAGTTGAGCACAACATTTCACCCTCAGACGAACGGATAGTCCGAGCGCACTATTCAGATACTAGAGGATATGCTCCGTGCGTATGTGATGGAGTTTGGAGGTTCTTGGGATCAAATCTTGCCACTTACAGAAATTGCCTACAACAACAGTTATCAGTCGAGCATTCAGATGGCACCGTATGAGGCTCTGTATGGTAGGATGTGTCGGTCTCCATTGGGTTGGTTTGAGCCGGGCGAGGCTAGGCTATTGGGTACAGACTTGGTTCAGGACGCTTTGGAGAAGGTTAAAGTGATTCAGGATAGACTTCGCATAGCCCAATCTAGACAGAAGAGTTATGCGGATCGGAAGGTTCGCGATGTTACATTCATGATTGGAGAGCGGGTCTTGCTCCAGGTTTTGCCCATGAAGGGTGTTATGAGGTTCGAGAAGAAGGGCAAGTTGAGCCCAAGGTTTATTGGCCCTTTCGAGGTGTTGCAGCGTGTTGGGGAGGTTGCTTATGAGCTTGCCTTGCCTCTCAGCCTGGCCGTAGTCTATCCGGTATTTCATGTTTCTGTGCTCCGGAAGTATCACGGCGATCCGTCTCATGTGTTGGATTTCAGCTCAGTCCAGTTGAACAAGGATTTGTCTTATGTTGAGGAGCCGGTGGCTATTTTGGACAGGCAGGTTCGAAAGTTAAGGTCAAAGAACATTGCTTCAGTGAAGGTTCAGTGGAGGGTTCAGTTGGTCGAGGAGGCGACTTGGGAGACCAAGCATGATATGCGTAGCCGTCATCCTCATCTTTTCACCACTTCAGGTATGTCTCTATACTCTTTCGAGGACGAACGATTGTTTTAAGAGGGGGAGGATGTAACGACCCAGGCAGTCGTTTTGAGAGTATTAGACCCTATCCCCTATTTACTACTTCTCCCGTATCCTTTTCTGCTTATGTGACGTTTCGGGAGGTTTTGTTCGTGGTTTCGGAGTATTTTGGGACACTTATTACCTAAAATGGAAGCTTAAGTTCTAGATTTTGACCGTAGTCGAAATTGTGTGAAGATGACTCCAGAATGGAGTTTTGTCGGTTTCATTAGTTTCGTTGGGTGATTTTGGACTTAGAAGCATGTCCAGATTGTGAATTGGAGGTTTGTAGCTGAATTATGCTTGAAATGGCGAAAGTTGAATTTTGGGAAGTTTGACCGGAAGTGAACTTTTTGATATCAGGGTTGGATTCCAATTCCGGAAGTTGGAGTAGGTCCGTAATGTCAATTATGACTTGTGTGCAAAATTTGGGGCCAATCGGATGTGATTTGATAGGTTTCGGCATCAGTTGTAGAAGTTTGAAGTTCAAAGTTCAAAGTTCATTAAGTTTGGATTGGAGGGTAATTCGTGTTTTTGTTGTTGTTTGAGGTGTTTTGAGGGTTCGACTAAGTTCGTATGATGTTTTAGGACTTGTAGGAATGTTTGGTTGAGGTCCCGGTGGCCTCGGGTTAATTTCGGGTGGTTATCGGACCATTTTGGACTTATGAAGAATTGCAGAATTTTCTGATTTTCCAGTTGTTGGTTTCCTTCTTCGCATTCGCGAGGGGACTTCCGTATTCGTGAAGAGGAACCAGAAGCAGGTGAGACTTTGTGCTTTGCGTTCGCGATGGAGGTCCCGTGTTCGCGAAGCTCTGAGGCAAATGGTCTATGCGTTTGCGATGAGGGTCCCTCGTTCGCATAGAGGAAGTGGTCACCTGAGTCTCCAGGCCCTTTTGCCTACGCGTTCGCGATGTTGGTCCCGGGTTCGCGTAGGGTCGAGCTAAGTGACCTTCGCGTTCTCGATTAGGCCATCACATTCGCGATTAAGGATTTTGGGCTGGAGTAAGTTTGTGCTTCGCGAACGCGAGGGTTCTTCCGCGTTCGCAAGAAGGGATGCCTGGGCAGTATTAAACTTTTCAAAAACGAGTTTAGCCATTTTTATCAAAATTTGAGATAGAGAGCTCGAATTTGGACGAGATTTTTAGGGAATTTCAGAGACATCGATTGAGTAATGATTCTTCACTTGTTTTAGGTTATATCCCACTAATTTATCATTAATTCCATCCTTTAATTTCGGTTTTGGGTTAATAAATTTGGGGAAAATTGGAGAAGTTCTTCAACTAAGTCTTTGAGTTTTGATTGGGATTTTGATGTCGGATTTGGATAATTTTGGTACGTGTGAACTCGTGAGTGAATGAGTGTTCATATTTTGTGATTTTTATCCGATTCCGAGACGTGGGCCCGGGTTGACTTTTTGGGGCGATTTTCTAATTTCTAGCTTAAGCCTTGACTTTATTAATTAGATTAGTTTCTTATAGTTATATTTATGGTATGTAATTGCTTTTGGCTAGATTTGGGTCATTCGGAGTCGGATAATCGTGGGAAAAAGTGTTGTTACTGATTGATTGAGCTTGGTTCAAGGTAAGTGGTTTGCCTAACCTTGTGTGGGGGAAATCCCTTAGGATTTGGTACTGTTGTGTTATGTGAGAGCCCTGTACGCGAGGTGACAAGTGCGTACACGGGCTAATTATCGTAAAATCCGATTTTTACTGAGTAGTAACCTGTTTGCTTCTTAATTGAGTTATACCAACATGTGTAATTATCCTGTTTAGTCTAATATCGTATGTCTATGTGCTTTAATTGCTTATTTGAACTCTGTGCAGCATGTCTAGTTGATTTCTTGTCTTTCCTTGATCTGTATCAGTCTTAATTATAGAATTATTGTTGTTAATTATTGTATTTAGCGGTTTGAGCTGGGTGTTTACTTTTTGGACTACGAGGCGGTACCTCGGGAGATCCCCTTGCACCTTTACTTTTGAGACTACGAGGCGGTACCTCGGGATATCTCCCTGCACATATACTTTTGAGACTACGAGGCGGTACCTCGGGAGATCTCCTTGCATCTTTACTTTTGGGACTACGAGACAGTATCTCGGGAGATCCCCTACTGTTTTATCCCTGTGTGTTGTACTGTTATTTTGCTGTGATTTTCCTCTTTGTTAAATTCCAGTCTCTTATCATATTGCTATATTCTTCTACTTTATTTATTATGTACTAGTGGGCCCTGACCTGACCTTGTCACTACTTGACCGAGGCTAGGCTTGGCACTTACTTGGTACAATTGTGGTGTACTCATGCTACTCTTCTGCATATATTTTGTGTGCAGATCCAGGTACTCTTTATCAGCCACGTCATCAGTGAGTAGTGACATTTTGGAGACTTCAAGGTATATCTACCGCGTCCGCAGACCTCGAAGTCCCCCTCTATTCCCTTATGTCATTTACCTTCCGTACTTCTTTTCTTAGACTCTGGTGTATAGAGATACTAGTTTCCTTCTGTAGCTTCTGACTTATGATGTTCCCGAGTTTGGAAATATTGTGTATTACCAGAGTGTTGGTTATTGTACATGTCGAACGGCATTGTTATCAGTTATTTCATCATCTGTTGTAGTTAGTTGTTAAGTTTTACTTCTATTTTATTATTTCCGCAATTTGTTAGTCTTACCTAGTCGTAGAGACTAGGTGCCGTCACGTTGTCTTATGGGGGGAGATTCGGGTCGTGATATTTCTCTACTGTTAAACTTTGTACTTGTACTATATTGGTTGAGCTCGTCACTGCTCTTATCATCATCTTCAAAAGAGAGCAACTCAAGATCATGGTAGAATTACCTAAAAGGGCATAGGATAACTTCGGTTGAGTAAATGAAAATCGAGCCACTTTATGAGCTCTGTCTATCAGTTTTCTTCTTCTTGTCTAGGGAGTATCACTTTATTTTTCAGTCATCTTGCGATTATAATTTTAAATTGTTTTGATATTTAAACTTGAAAGAATTGCATTAGCACTTAAGAACCTATTGATTTACGCAATGATATAATTTCATTGCATGTATTACGCAGGAAAATGAGTTGGTTGAGTGAAGAGTAATTATTCCAGTTTTTGTAAAGGAAGCAACAATCACTAACAGCCACGGTATCATGTCACCACCTAAGTGTTATTCTCTTCTTGCCTCATAAGTATGTTTTTCGTCAAACTAATATAGAACGACATTAAATGTGTGTTTAATGCTTCATAGATGGTCACAAGTATTTATTCCTAAACTAGTAAAGCTAATATATACGTTAGTATAGTTTTTATCTACAAAGTGCACAATTGAAGAGATATAAACTAACTATGTTTATAGTTAGATACTGGCGTGATGGATTGCATTAATAAAATGGATTGTGGACCCCTAAATTATTTCAAGAGGTTAATCGTTTGCTCTTCTTAAAGTGATGAAACAGATAAGTTAAGATCCATGACAAATGGTTATGAAGGGATAAATTATAGCGTGTGAAAGAATTTACCATGATATGATATTAATTGTTCAGACTTAAAAGATGAATTTATTGTGACTATCACCAGTAAAATACATTTCTTAAGCCTTAAATATTTCTGATGAAAACGTAAGAGTACTTCCACCGTTCCATATGTATTTGGTATGGTGATGTTTCATTTATATATGGACTTTGAAGTATAAGTTAATTCATCATGGGTTTTCTATACTTTTTCCTAATTAAATTACTATGATATTAATATGTGACTTTCCTAACAAAACTCACATATGTCTAGAATAAGGCATTTCTATTGTAGAGGGGCTATTTCAAGGTTGAGAAGGTTATATTCATAAGTGTCACGATCCAAAACTCAACATGTTGTGATGGCGCCTATCACAGAACTAGGCAAGCCGACAAGCCGACAATCACACTAAAACTTAGCATTTTATATCAAAAATAATATGAAGTAAGTTTAACAGTAATAACTCTCATAAATAGCTGATATGGACAACTTCGACTCGAATACAAACTTTTTCAAAATCTGGGTGTCACTGAGAACACGAGCATCTATACAATAACATAGTCTGAAAATGTCTAAGAAGGTAGAACAATATAAGCAAAACTGACATATAGAGGAGAAGAGTCAATTTCTACGGACACCAAACAGCTGCCTCGATAATCTTCGAACGGGTAAAAACTCCAAGATCAACAACCACCATTCTCGAAAATGCCTGGATTTGCATACGAAGTACAAGGTTAGCGTGAGTACAACCAACTCAATAAGTAACAAGTCTAACCTTTAAAGAGTAAAGTAGAGACTCGTGCTGATAACGTGTTATAAAATAAATATTATAATTATAAACTAAAGCACCAAGAGAGAAGAAAACAAGAATAGATAAGAAATGTAGAGAGGAGGAGAGAACTTTTCTTCTTATTTCAAGTATAATCCATGAGCCAAAAGTGCTCTATTTATAGTTATATAGGTCTCCTCAAATAACAACAATTAGTGGGTTCATTCATTTGGTACATGAATTACTAGAGAAGTTACGGAAGGGACATTCACATTCACTGAATTTATAACAAAAAGTAAATATTGTTCGAGTATTTCGATTTATTTTATTAAGAGAAAAAAATAACTATAGAAACAGAAATGCAAAATTCAGTGAACTTAATCAAAAAAAGATATGCAGGTCCAGAAAGACACGGAGAAACTAGAGAAAACAAGTAAACTTTATCAAAGAAAGATATGCATATATTGTAGTCCGAACTGAACTGTGATTGAACCCATAAATTTATTTCTAAACAAAGCTAGCATGTTCAAACTTGTCCTCTTCCACTTAACTCATGAATAAGCTCATTTAACGCTTGCCATGATGTTCCCCCTTCTTTGACTGCATTAATGGCTGCAACACCAATCTCCTTCACTTTCTTCATTGCCTCTTTACCTTTCTCTCCTTCCATTAATTTCCTTATCGGCTTTTCCAAACCTTCCCACTTCACGAACCCTCTCACTGACCCATCGCACGTCTCGACCCTTAGCCCAATCTTGATTACTTCCACTATCATCCTTGCATTTAGGTGTTGCTCCGCCATCATTGGCCATGCTAGTATTGGCACTTTTGCGCATATGCTCTCTATTACCGAGTTCCAACCACAGTGACTTAAGAAACCTTGAACGCTCCCGTGGCTCAAGATTTCTCTTTGATCAACCCACTCTGTCATCACCAATCCCCTGTTTTTCACTCTGTTTTCGAACTCATCATTGGGTTCACTTATAGCACTTCTCCTGACTACCCACAAAAAGTTTACTTCAGATTTCTCCAACCCAATTTTGATTTCCTTGAATTGTTCAGGAGATAGCTCAGCTTGTGACCCAAATGCGACATACAAAACTGGCTTCCCCTGTTCTAACATTTCATCAAGCCATTTGATGTATGAAGGTTTCTCTAGGGTTTCTTGTTTTTCTTTTGGTGGCTCGTGAACCGCACAAAAGGGTCCAACGCACCATGATTTAGAAGTCGATATACGGTTACAGTAGTCCGCATATACAGATTCAAGCTCGTAAAAGCTGTTGACAAGTAGACCATAGCTTTTAGAGGTTGCTATGATTGCCTCCATAGTGAACTCGAAAAGGGGACCCTTTGATTCACGCTCTCTGAAGGGAAAATCAAAGTCATTTCTAGTGAGTTTAATCGAAGGGAAATTAGGGACTGCAAAAGGCTCGTCGTCGGACACTTCTGTCTGAAGAACTGAACCAGCTGAATGCGACATGGCCGAGGAAAATGCGCTCATGCCGTAATAGGCGAGTCTTGGTATACCAAATTTATTTGCAGACTCTAAAGTCCACACGAGGAAACCATCAGTGACCATAAAAGTAATTGGCAAAAGAGATTGTAAGGCCTTTTCGAAATGGGGTTTCATGGATTTGGTGGTGTTTGCAAAGGTAACAAAGAGTGACATGGAGGGAAGTTTATCAGTACTCTCGACACCTGCGGGAATTCCTTGTATATTTTCAGGAAAAGGGATGTCGATGATATTGATGTTGGTGTCCGAAAGGGAATTGGCGAAGAAAGGACGATTTGCAGGAGTGGTGAAAATGGTGATGGCAATTTTGCGATTGAGAAGAATGCGAGCAAGGTCGAAGATAGGAATTGTGTGGCCTTTGGACATGAAAGGGAACAGAACAACATGAATACAAGGAGGAGAAGCCATTTTTTCTGCACTCTTGCTCCTCGTGTATATAAATGAGTCCAATAATATACTCCTCCCTTTCAGTTTTTATAGCAAGCATTCCAAAAATAATGACATATTTTGGAAATAATTTTTTTTTTTTTAGAATTTTTCAATTTTCACTTAACAACAATCTTCTATAATCACACAAATGTTATGAAATACTTAAAATCAATAATTTCAATAGTTTTATAACCACATAAATATTATAAGTTCACACATTTTAAAAATAAAAATTTTATAAATTACGTGCACAATCAATTTACTTCGGTAGACCGTATAAGGTTAATTCCTTATATATATATATATAAACCATATTAGAAATAGGAAGCACATAACTTTAAAATTAAATTACCAAAATATCCATCCTTATCTACTAAAATAACCTATGTAATTTAAATATTAAAATAACTACAAATAGATGCAAGCTACAGACGCTTACCATTTTTAACAGCCAAGCTAGCAACGTTTTATGCCCCTTCTTTAACATCACAATATTTCCATGCGCAAGCCTCGATTATAATTTATTTAACTATTCCCTATTTTCTGTTAGGATTTTGTAAAGTTCTATTTATATGAATGATAGGGTACGGTAGACAACTCTAAGTTATGACTATGTTACTTCTTTCCCCAAATTGATAACAACCACGCGTTCAAAATTAAATTCAAAGGCAGTATAATTGACAAAGACTTCTAGTTAATTCGGATATCTAAACGTTATGGAGTAGATATAATTGTGTTCGCTGCTTGTGCCCTTGAATTCGGATTGCAAACATGATTCTAAAAATATTTTTTGTTGCTTGTTTTGGTGATCTTCTTTTCGTATTCACGGAATTAGAACAGGGAACAGTAAAACCCCTCAACATATTATTGCATCTGCAGTAACACCTTTATTTGAGTACGTACTCTCCTTTTATTATTAAATCATCTTTAAGAAAACCTTTCTTAATATACTTTTGTTACCATGTTAATCCTAAAGATCGAGATTACTTGTTTTTTTGTAGCCTTAAGGGTAGTTTCTATACTAATTATCCTAAACAAGAGTCTTTGGTTAAAGTCCTAAATTCTTAGATAAAGTAAAAATTTGAAGAAAAAAATATGATTTACACAGGTTTTCTTACCACTGCTTCAGTGCTTATTGTGGGTCTGATATATTTATTCTTTTATTTGTCAAAAAACCAAAAATATATTCATGTGACTGAGTAATAAAAGTATTAGTAACTCGAAGAAGTTTAGTAACACAATACAAAAGTTCAAGTCACAATGTAAATTTTAGTTCTGCAATATTAGTTAACGAAGAATAACGCCATTTTAGATTTGTGTTATATTTTTTTACTTTTTTTTATTAATGACATCAACTCCTGGTAAAGCTTTTAAAGGAGGCAAAGATCCAAGCAACATTTTTCCTAATCATGTCGAAAACTGTGAGGATTTTTCTAAACCAAATAGGAGCTACTATATTATTAGTGATCGAATCGATCGTGTCAGTCCCACTTACTTTTCAATAACAAAGAAGTTGAAATTACTTTTACTAATAACACCATTATAAGGGAGTGACATTCCTATCCAAATATTTTTTAAATGATTTGTATTTTTGGAAGACGGAAAAAATATAGTGACGACACTGTCTTTGTAAATTTTTAGAGGAATTTGTACACTATTTTCATACAGAATTATTTGATACTTATTACTAATTTTAATCTCATACTTTTGTGATGTAATTTGTAGGTTAGAAACAGTGATACTACTTTCAAGAGGGATATTAGTGTCGACAACAAGAATCCTGATCATGACATATCGAACAAGTGATTCGAATGAAATAAACATATACTGGGAAGTAGGAATATCGTCAATAGAGAAATATTAGATGAGGTATTGTTCATTACATGTTTGTACCTCATAAAATCACAAATTATTTCACATATATCTTATTTTGAACTTTGATTGTTCAACTTTGTAGGTTTAGACGATATCAATCATCTTAACTTCGACATATTCGTTCATGTACAACTATTTACTCAAAGCTTTATTTTAATAATATTAATATTATTGTATAAAATCGCTTATTACGTGACTCGCCGTACTTGTGCGTTGCCGAAAAAACTAGTATGTACATATATATATATATATATATATATATATATATTATATATATATATATATATATATATATATATATATATATTGTTGAATTTCCTTAGCTTCTTTACGTGTTTATTTTTTTATTTTTTGAATCCACGGATAAAAATACTACTTGGTCGGTAGGTCGACGAACAGTTGTAGAATCTGTGTCTACGTGAAAAGCCAAGACCAAACTGAACATCATTTTAGGGAAACTACCAGTTATGTCCATTTATAAGTAGCCCATTACAAAAATTGGTCAATTCATAAAATATTGCTAATATTAGCCAAATATACTACTATTAGCTAATTAGCTATTTGTAGCAAAAAAGGTTAAATTTTTGCTTTCTTTTGAGTGGGTGTTATTAGAATAGATTGAGTACATCTTAAGGAGCTTGAATCTAGTTTGGGGATGATTTGGTGAAGTTTTGAGGTGGTTTGAATTGAAAATCGACGTAAAAACTGAACATGAAAAAAATGATATGTGTATCACACCGTGTATCATTTATGTATCACATATGTATCATATTTGTATCAATTGTGTATCACATGTATATCCATGTATACCTGTGTGTGAGATACATGAGTGATACATTTTTTATACAAATGTCGCATAAGAGATTTTTGAAGTCGATTTAATTATGAATTTTGATATAAAACCAATCCAAATCGCCTCCAATCTTCCTCAAATTTTGCATATTGACTTATCTATTTGTTTTCAATGAATTTCAACTATACCCATTACAAAAAAGTTCCTTTTTTGCTTAGATTTTTAGAATATTGTAATTTTTTTTTATATTTCATCGCCTTATTTGCTACCTCATCATCCATGAAATTTCCTTTCCGTCGTACATCTAATGTTGCTATTCACGCTTAAAAATATGAAAGAGATTTTTGCATGTGATTCTTTGAGAGAAAGAACCTTCTTTATTGTAAAAATAGCACGGTCTAGCCAGTTTCCGGACTAGTCATTTAAAAATAGTCAGCGTTTACCAAGCCAATAAAAAATAGCCACTATTTTGCTGCAACAGAGACCGGTCCAGCATAATATACCGGAGTTCGGTGCACCTGTGTATGAACTTCCAGCATATTATGCTGGAACTCCAACACACGGAAGGTTCCAGCATAATATACTGGAGATTCGAGCACTTGTGTATGAACTTCCAGCATATTATACTGGACCAGTATACTTTGCTGGAACTCCAGTATATTATGCTGGAGTTCTAGTGTACTTATGCTGGAACTCCATCATATTATGCTGGAGTTCCAGCATACTTATCCTGGAACTCCAGTATAATATGCTGGAGTTCAAGTATACTTATGCTGGAACTCCAGCATAATGTGCTGCCGTATTTTCCCGGGTTTGAACAATGTTTTCGCTCAGATTTATCTTTACATGAAAAGTGGCTAAATTTCGATTACTTTTGAAACTGGGCTATTTTTGAACAACCACTTGTAAATCTGGCTATTTTTGAATTTCTTACTTCTTTATTTGATTTTTTAATTTTTATATGTGCTTGACTAGTTTTGATAAGTCTATGACTAATGACTAGAGGTTAGTAAGTTAAAACTTATTAGGGATATTTGTGTAAGTTTCCTATCAATTTATGCATGATTGCTAATGCGTCATATAGAAGTGATTTCTAGTACGACTAAATTAAATAATAGTGGCATAGCTGAAGAAGATTAGAAGCTTCCATCTCTCATTCGGTTGAGTATTATGTTCCGTCCCTAACTTGCCATCTGTTTATGATCTTAATGATGCTTTTAGTGTTGAGTGTTGACAGTATAAAACATATATTTAAGTTGTCGATTCATTTAAACATTAGATAAAAATAATTGTGTATTGTAATTATTGATTGGTAACCTGAAAAAAGCTAAATAAAATATATCAATTTAATTACATTGATTATTTGAATAAGCTACTTGAATAAATTGATGAGACTACTTAGCATAATCTACGCAGGCAATTGTAAAACTAATTATGATTGTCAATGTAATAGTTACATAAGTTATCGTTTGAAAAGAAAAAGTGATTTGCCAAACATTTTTTGCTCATCATCATAAACAACACTTGGTGCATCTCATTTGAATTAAATGACGGAATATATGCAAATTTAGAAAGTGCCAGAATTACTTTAAATAGTCGAATACAGAGGTACAGCAAAATGATTTGTATTCAAGAAATTTGCTTGCTTGAATAAATGCAAATTCCAGAAATAACAGAGTTACTTTACATATGTGGCATAAAAATAATACCATAATAATAATAATATAAATAATCCCCGAATTATTTATATCGGATAAAATATTTCAAGCAAACATAAGAAAAAATTAATCTCACATTTATTCCGAGAGTATTATCTAATTAACTTGCATTCTATATTATATGGGACAATTTCATATAATCCGATCCCGAAATCATTCTATATTATATGGGGCAATCTCATATGAAAACAACGTAACTTCTCTTCAAATCCAGCTCTAAATACGATAAACAACCAAAAGGGACATGCACTCCACGATTTCTTATCTAATTTGGACATATCTAATGCAATTTCTTATGTCTTTGGCCAAATGACCACACAACGGAAAAGTAGTGTAATGTGGAAACGATCGCTCTCAGATATGCATGTGGTAAACAACTTTCAAGGCTGAGCCATGTGATGGAATTGGAGAAATATCCTGAAGAAATTTTGGCCAAAGACATAGGAAGATATTGCTAGAGTGTACTATTGTGGCGATGCCTAACATGTAGAGTGTACTATTGTGGCGATGCCTAACATGTAGAGTGGGTATGAAAATTGAGAGAAACCATACTTTAGCTAGCGTCAATATTCAATAGTCACGGTCTCTGTTTGTTGGGTCAGTTTCACCTCAAGACGTGTATGAACAGAGTTTCATTAAAGAGTGAATAGCTTTTGAGAAAATATCTTATGGAAGAATGTGCGTTTCCTACTTTTTTTTTGTGGTTCCATTCTCGGAGAAGTTATTTGGAATAGCATCTTATGGCTATTTTTGAAGGTCATTTCTTAACGGCTTGTTTGGATGGTTGTTCCTCGTTGTATTGTATTGTATTTTTATCTCAAAACATGTTTGTTTTGATTGTTTCATTAAAAGTGGTTGTATTGTATTGTTAAATTCATTGTTCCGGAACAATGAAAAGTCCCCTTTTTTGAAACAACCGATTTGGTGTGGTGGGATTGTTTCCTATTTTTCTTTCCAATTATGCCATAACTTATTACTCCATAATTCTATTTTACCCTTTATCTTTTTTCTATTTTAGCTCCAAATCTCCAACTTATAACCTACTTTGTTTTTTTCTAGACCAATGTTAAAGGTGTTTTGTTGCCTCCTGTTTTATTTTTTTCTCCTAATTTGTTTGTAACTCAATTCTAATTAGTTGTGCTCCTTTGTTTTGCCT